CCCTCCCTCTCCCTCTGGCCATGCCTTGCCTGATGCTCCCTAGGACAGTAGAGTCTGTAACCCATAGCATAAATCCTCACTGAACAGCTAAACAAGAATAGTACCCTGCAGACCATGTGTGTATTGCAAATGTTTCTTTGAGATAAAATACCAGATTTTAGGTGGGTGAAATGCCTATCATAGATGCATGTTTGTTGACACTAGGGAAGCAGCTTTGGTTCCTGAAGGACAGGCAGCTGCAATTCAGGTGGAATGTATTTAGGAGGTGTCTGGCTGAGTCCTAAAACTTTGTTTCCCTCTGCTGTTTTGAAGGCCTTTAATTCAGGCAGTGATTATCTTGAGTTTCAGATCTTTGTGTCTGGATAAAACCAGGCTAGGTATCGAGATTGTGTGTGGGTGGAATAAAGATCCCCATTCTCATTCAAGTTCCATAGAATTTAGGGAGGAGAACTTGATACTCTTAATTGATACAGTCCCATTCATTTAGTGAGGAGTGTCTGGTTCCTTTGTCATTTTCTTCTCCCTGAAACAAGCAGAAGAATCTCAAACATTGGGCTGTGTTTTTGGGTCAGAAGAGTTAATGCTGATTTAGGAGTTAGTTCCAATGAGCAGCGTTGGCCCCTTATTAGTAGTTTTCATACCAGTCCCAGGAGGAAACTGCTTGGCTGTCATTAGCCTGATGCTTCTTCCTGCAATCTTGCATCCTAGTTATTTACACTGAATCATCTGCTTAAAAAAAAAAACCACCCTGAAGCACATGCTAATGATGTATATGATGTAGGAGATAAGAGCTGCTTTAGATTTGAAAAGCCTTCCCCAGTTATTCTAGGAAAAATCCATCTGCTGCTCACTCACATCTCCAGTTTTTCCAGGGGCTCCTTTAGTCAGGAGGCACATACTTCACGTTTCTCAGTTTCTGCTGTGGTTTCAGTGGTTGGGTGCTAAGCTGAAACCCTAGGTTTGTGTTAACATAGCCATTGATGCTAGAGCATAACCAAAAAGAAATAACTCTCTTGTCAGAGGCCACTGGTAGTGTAGGAAAGGAGAAAGTCAGGGCTTGTCTGAATGAAAAAGGACAAAGATCAAGGGGAAACTTGATAGTTCATATCTCCATCTGGAAAGGCAGGAGAGGAAAGGACTCAAAGCCCTAATGGGGGAATAGAGCAGGGAGGAAAGCCTGGGTGTGGAGATCTCGGTGTGGAGTGTGGGTGACACACTTGGGAGTGAATCTAAAATACACTGTGCAGCTGAGAAGTCAATGATCACCTTAAACGGTATCTTAGGAGACAATCACAGAATTTTAGAGGTTAGAATGGACCTTACAGATCATCCAGCCCCAACCCCTGCCCTGAGCAGGGACACCTCCCACCAGAGCAGGTCGCTCAAGGCTTTATCCAACCTGGCTGTGAACACTGCCAGGGTTGGGGCAGCCACAGCCTCCCTGGGCAACCTGGGACAGTGTCTCACCACCCTTATAGTAAAAAGCTTTTTTTCCCAACAGAGAAACACAATAATCTCTAGACAAGAATTTCCTGTGACTTCTTCACTTTAGGTTGCTCATTTCCAAAAGAATAATACAGCTGGGATTGTTTTCATTGATGTAAAAAGTGAACAAACAGCCCCAAACTTCTTGTTTTGCAGTGAAGAGATACATCAGGAAAGGCATCCCCGCTGAACACCGTGCATTGATCTGGATGATTGTGAGTGGGGCCCAAGCCAACATGGAGCAAAACCCTGGCTATTACTACAGACTGCTTGAAGGAGAGAAGAATGACAAGCTGGTTGAAGCAATCAAAACAGGTTACTGTCTTGATACTGATGTTTATCTGTGTTTATCCCTCCTATGTCCTGAAATGTTAGAGATCACGTTATGTCATGGAAAACTGTAGTAGTGGTTTAAGTGCTGATTTAACATGTAAATTAGATTAGCCATAAGCTCTTTAACAGCACAGCTCTTTCCAGGTTCATCATGTGGTTCAGAGCATTAAGGAATATTTTTAAGCAAGATTAGAAATTATTTGGGAAGGAACAAATTAGAAAACATTGTTATGTCATCTCCTAAGTGACTGAGGAGTTATTGCTTTGTGCCATGAGTCTTTGAGTCTGTTTCTCCTTACTTCTGTCTCAACAGGACCCTAGGGGAGCAGCAGGGATGGTTGAAGGTGTGATACAGGGTCCATATGAGGCAGGTGAAAGATTTCAGCTTGAGGAAAAAGCTGTTGATAGATTTATATGAATTATAAATGGTGTAAAGAGGGTGAAATTAGGAGCAATTGTTATTTGTTCCCTGTAACCTAAGAACCAAGAGGCTGAATGAACTGTGCCATGCTGCAGGTCTAGAGAGCAGATCCCTGAGTTTTGTGGCACTTGTGACTGTGCTGCAGAGACTGGAAGTATGACCTGGTTTAAAAAGGAATTTGACAGGTGGGGGAATCCACCTGATGCATGAAACACTAAACACTAGGTGCAAATCCCTGAGAGAAGTGCAGGAGGAGAAATATCCCTCCTCTACTACTCCTGTTTCATTGGCACTTTCTGTGAGCATTGATCAATCCTGGGGCAAAAGGGCAAAAGGGCAAGCAGACCTTAGACCAATCCTGGTGACAGGGCAAAAGGGCAAGCAGACCTTAGACTAGCCTACTGGGAGTAAATCATAGAATCAGAGAATTTTAGGTGACAGGGCAAAAGGGCAAGCAGACCTTAGACTAGCCTACTGGGAGTAAATCATAGAATCAGAGAATTTTAGGGGTTGGAATGGAGCTTGGAGATCATCCAGTCCCAACCCCCTGCCCTGGGCAGGGACACCTCCCACCAGAGCAGGTTGATCAAGGCTTCACCCAACCCAGCTGTGACTCTGAACACTGCCAGGGTTGGGGCAGCCACAGCCTCCCTGGGCAACCTGGGCCAGTGTCTCACTACCATCACAGGGAAAACTTCTGCCTAAGAACTAACCTAAATTTCCCCTCTTTCAATCTGAACCTGTTACCCCTTGACCTGTCCCTGCAGCTTCTAACAAAGAGACCTCTCCTGCTCCCTTGTAGGCCCTTCAGAGAGGGGAGAGTAAAAAGAGGCAGTAAGAGAGGACAAGTTTGTTGTAACTGATATTTTCCCTGAAACTTGTCAAGCTGCCACAGCAGAGCTTTTGTACAAAGTTGATATTGGCTGAATTGCCTAATTAATAAGTCAAGAGATTGGGCTGTGCTCCAACCAAGCACAATGCTGAGGTTGTTTGGTTAGAATGGCAGGTACAATTCTTGTCTTTTTCCTCTTGATAAAAGCCAGATACTTAAAGTTTGGGCTGTATGGATTTTTATTCAAGTTTTATAACAATCTGAACACTTCTGGTTTGTGCTGAATTTCTCCTCCACCACTCCCTGCAACAGCAACAGCAGCACTTTGGGCTTTTGGGACTATACAAATTAGTAAAGCATTTTGGAGCATGAGCTTTCACCTACAGGTTTATATCCTGCTCAGACCTAGACACAGTAGAGCTCTAACTATGAGTACAGAGGGAGCTGCTAAGATGACTTTCTAAGGCCTGGGGAAGGGCCTGGAGCAGGATCAAACTACAGAGCTGGAGTACAACTCCTGCAAGAGAGAGTTGCAAATAATTTCTCTTCCAGTACTAGGCAGAGATGTGAAAGGTGATGCTGTGTCAGTAGGTGACTTTTCACATAGGTTAATATAAAATTAAAACATTTTTCTGGGAGAGGATCAACAATGGCAGAATATAAAGATCTATTTGTGAACTATGGAGGAAACAGCTTTGGAAGAGCTACTGTATTGATGGGAAAACTGAAGAGAAAATTAACACGGAGCAAATGAGGGAAAGAAAGGTCTGGAAAACCTGTGGGATGAGGAAGGGCTGAGGGAGTTGGGTTTGATTAGCCTGGAGAAGAGGCTCAGGGGTGACCTCCTGGCTCTCTGCAACTCCCTGCCAGGGTTGGAGAGAGGTGGGGGATGTGTGTCCTGCCATGGCTGCAGGGAGAGGTCTAGAGGGAATGGTCTTGAGCTGAGCCAGGGCAGAGTCAGATTGGATGTGAGGAGAAATGTTTTCCCTGTTGTGGTGTTGAGGCACTGGGATATTGCCCAGGGAGGTGGTGGAGTCACCATCCCTGGAGGTGTTGAAGAGGTGTCTGGATGTGGCACTGGAGGATCTGGTTTGTGGGTTCCAGCAATGACAGATTAATGGTTGGACTCAATGGTCTCCTCCAATCTTGGTGACTATGATTCTATAATCAGGTTAAAAAGGGCAGGGTGCCTATGGAAAGAAATGGTCTGATCTTTAAAGAAAAATCTGTTTAGTAATGGCAACAAGTCTTTCAGCTAATTAAATCTGTAATCTGTTCTTTGACCATTTTTGCCCTTTAACTTTGTTATTCTTAACTCCTGAGCTTTATTGATGGCCTTGGTTTATGTGGTATTTGCTGTTTGAACATACTTTGATTTGAAGAGAAATGTAGGAGAGAGTAGCTTCTTGCTCTAAGCATAGAATTAAGAGCTTAAAGAATGTAGGTCTCTAAATTTTGATGGAAATTTTTGTGTCTTAGTTTAGGTACACATTTAGAAGAGCATGCATTCCTACTGCACTTTGTTGTTCATGCCCTATTATAGTAAAGTTTGGTAGGACAAATGATGTTGGCAGGATAAAAAGTGACTGTCCTCCTCGTGCCTATGTGCTGGTTACAAAAAAGCTGGGGGTATAAATTGTCATAGCTTCCTTGCAGTGAGCTCCCCTTAAGCCAGGCCATTGAGTTTCAGAGTAAATATGTCTGTGTCTATAAGTGCTCTGGAATGCTCATAGAATCATAGAACCATCAAGG